TGCGTGGACGGACGTGCTGCAGCAGATGCTCATCTATCGCCTCGGCACTCAGACTCCCGCCTGACCTGAGGCTCTGGGAGCGCTGTGGGGAGTGGTGAGATGGAAGCAGCAGACATGGATAGCTGTGTGCAGGTTCAGGCCATGGGTTCGCTTGTCCATGGATGGATGGGTGATATCCATATGGGTGTGCACTATTGGAAGGGATGACCTCAGGAGGGGCCCCAGGTACATACCTCATGGTTGGATGGGGCACCCACAGACACCAGTGGAGATATGGGGTTGAGCAGATCAAGACATTCACAGCGTAGTTCAATATGGGCACTAACAACATTCGTAGGCATTATTTCAAAGCATTGGTTGCATTGTAGCTGTAGGGTGTCTCTTTGTGTTAGCCATACTTCATATTGAAAATTCATTCTGGAAAAGTTGTATACAATGCAATTCTATGATAGTTTGATTTTTCTTCTCTCTATGATAAGTGTGTTGTTTTCCCACGTGTAGTCCTTTTCGCAACCTACTCGCGGGTGTGCGATTTGGGATTCCCAACTCCACATGACAGACAAGCACGCAAAGCCTACCGTATTTACCCGGCTAATAGACCCGGGGGTCTAATCCTACACCGGGAAAAAAAGAGGTGGGGGGTCTATTAACTGGGGGGATTTTTAATAGACCCGGGGTCTAATCCTATGTGTAGTTCTGATTTTTTTTCCATGTCGAACATGAGTGTTTGAATATCAAAGAACGCGATTTCAATATCGCGTCTGGAAAATCGTGACCACGCGCTGACGCGAAGAGCACGTGGTCACTTGCTCGAGTCATATCACTGTTTGCACTACCCTCAGGTAATGTGTCTCGCTACAATTTCGACTGAAATTCACGTGTCTACAGTTAAAGGGGGTCGAATCCGGGATGCATTACAAAAAGGGGGGTCTAATACGAAAGTGGAGATAGGATTAGACCCCCCCCCCCCCATTTAACGACCCGGGGGTCCATAATTTTGGGGGGGTCCATTAGCCGGGTAAATACGGTACGTGGAAGGAAGGCGCCGTAAGATGCAGGAGCAGGCGGGAATCAAAGTGGAAATGAATGGCGAAGCTCCCACGGGTTTCCTCTCGTCCCGGATAAAGGCGCGGAAGGCAAAGACGCGCCTGGTGGATATATCTCACCAGGGCTCCCGGTATGAAGGGGCTAAGGAGGCGCTGAAGGCTGCGTCGGATTTTAACACCAAGCTATTCGCGTCTAGTGCGGACTCACAGTTGAACTTGTCAGAATATGTTATTTGTCTAGCCTGCAGTGGGGTACTCAATAGTGAGTACAGCCCTTTAGGGTTTCCTATTTGTACCAACCTGCTTGCTAGTGCAATCATTCCTTCTCATTTCTTCCTGTTCCGTTCACATCCTCGCTAGCCCTAGGGCACAACCTCCTACTCTTGGTGTGGCCTAGGCTACTTAGCCTAGGCCCTACTGCTAGAGTTTCTGACATGGTATCTAGAGCGAGCATGTTCCTGCCGCCTAGCTTAACGGGCCCACCAACTGCTTCCGCTGCCTTACTGTCCGTCGCGCGCCCCGTGGTGCGCGGCGCTGCATTTTCTTCCCGCCACGCGCTCGGAGCGCGTGGCGGTTTTTTCTGCCCGCCGCGCGCTCAGGGCGCGTGGCGGTTTCACCGTCCGTCGAGGCGCCCTCAGGGGGGCCTGCGCGCTGCCCTCCCCGTCGCCCGTCGCGGCGCCCCCAGGGGACTTGCGCGCTGCCCTCCCGTCGCCCGTCGTGGCGCCCCCGGGTGGCCTGCGCGCTGCCCTCCCCGTCGCCCGTTGCGGCGCCCTCAGGGGGCACGCGCGCGGCCCCCTGTCGCCTGTCGAGGCGTCTTCGGGGGGCCTTCGCGCTGCCCCCTCCGTCGCCCGTCGCGGCGCCCGTGGGGCCTGCGAGCTGCCCCCCCCCCCCCCCCCCCCCCGTCGCTCGTCGCGGCGCCTTCAGGGGGCCCGCCCGCTGCCCCCCTCGTCGCCGACCCTGCAGCAGCGCGCGACCCGCCCCTGTAGCAGCTCGTGACGCCGCCCCTGCAGCAGCGCGCGACCCGCTCCTGTAGCAGCTCGCGACGCCGCCCCTGCAGCAGCGCGCGACCCGCCCCTGCAGCAGCGCGCGAGCCGCCCCTGGACCAGCGACGCCGCCCCTGGAGCAGCCGCCCCTGGCCCCTGGAGCAGCCGCCACTGCTACAGCCGCGCCCTCGTGCGCTCTGTCTCACCCGCGCCCTCGTGCGCTCTGCTCTACCCGCGCCCTCGCGCGCTCTGTCCTGCTCTGCCCCCCCCCGGTCCCCTGGACAGGAGGGTGTGGGGGTGATACGTGTGCGTCGTCCCTTCCTTCTCCTCCTCCGTCTCCCACTGTTGCAGCTGCCGCTGAGGGGGGTGGATGTGTGGGAGCCGATGGGAGTGGCGCTAGGGGGATGCCGTGGTAGTGGAGCTAGGGGTGCAGCAGTGGGTGTGTGAGAGGGGTGTGGGACAGTTGGGGGAGGTTGAGCGGAGGCTGCCGTCTTGTCGTCCGCAGCACCTGTAGTCCGGGGCTCTACCGCTGGTAGCCCAGAGAGCCTGCTGAGCCTGTCGCCCGTGGGTCCGTTGCTCCTGCCGCTCCTCGTAGCCGCCGAGCCAGTTACTCCAGTAGTCCGGGGCGCTACTGTGCGAGCCGCTCCTGTCGCCCGTGTGTCTGCAGCTTCAGCCGTCGCCTCCCATCTCCTCTCCTCTCACAGTCCCTCCTCCTCCTCACTTGCCCTCTGTGACTGCCTCTAGCTCTGGTTGTGCTTGTGACTTATTCTATGACTTCTTGCTGTGCTGATTATACCCCACTTTGACTATGGGGGTGTGTCAGAATATGTTATTTGTCTAGCCTGCAGTGGGGTACTCAATAGTGAGTACAACCCTTTAGGGTTTCCTATTTGTACCAACCTGCTTGCTAGTGCAATCATTCCTTCTTATTTCTTCCTGTTCCGTTCACATCCTCGCTAGCCCTAGGGCACAACCTCCTACTCTTGGTGGGGCCTAGGCTACTTAGCATAGGCCCTACTGCTAGAGTTTCTGACAGAACTGGCCGGTGGACAAGCGCCTCTCCCCAGAGGATGCGGTGGAGCTCAGTGTGCCTTGGGAGGAAGCGGAGGTCAAGCGCGCGTTGGCGGAGATGGCGCCTGGCAAAACACCGGGGCGTGATGGTCTCCCGAAAGAGCTCTGGGAGTCACAATGGGACCTGTTGGGGGGGCAGATGATGCGGTTTCTGAAGGAGTTTGAGCGAATGGGGCTGTTATCCAAAGAATTTTCGACTGCAGTGACGGTGCTTCTGTATAAGAAGGGGGCTAAGGATGACTTGCAGAACTACCGCCCGATTACGCTGCTGAGCACGGTTTACAAGCTTATCGCAAAGTTACTGGCAAACCGGATAAAAAACAAGCTGAAGAGTGTGGTGTCGGCCGGGCAATTTGGTTTCTTACCTGGAAGGAGCATCGCTGGCGCGGTGGCAATCGCGACGGACGTGATTGATGCTGCGGACGCTGGGCAGGAAGACTGGCTCATGCTCCTGGTGGATTTCCGCAAGGCCTTTGACTCGGTGGCGCGCGAGTACCTGTTTGAGGTGCTGCGGAAGATGGGCTTCCCGGAAGTCTACGTGAAGTGGGTAGAGGGCTTGCATCAAGGAGCAGCAACCCGCATCTGCAACGACGGCTGGCTGGGAGAGGAGGTCCCGGTCCAGACTCGGGTGAGGCATGGTTGCCCCCTCGTGCCGTACCTCTTCTTGTGCGCGGTGGAGCCTTTCTGCCAGGAGGCAAGGAGGAGGTGGTTAGGGATCAATGTCAAGGGAGCAGGAAAGCTGACTTACCTGGGGTATGTTGACGACACTACTCTACTGTTGAACGGCCGCTCGCAACTGGGGGATGCTGAGCTGCTGCTCAAGGAATTCGAGCATGTGTCGGGGCTGGCGGTTAACTGGGACAAGTCGGTGGTGCTGCCGCTGGGGAGTCAACGGGATATACCGCCGCCAGCGGATGGGGCCTTCAAATGGGCGTCGCGTGATGAACCGGAGCGCCTGCTGGGGGTCTGGATCACACCGGGGGGGGGGGGGGGGGACGCAAAGCCGTCGTGGAAGAAAGCGTTGAGCAGGATGGAAGCGGAACTAAAGAAATGGGAGGCAAAATTTCTCACCACCACAGCGCGAGTGACGGTGGTTAACGCATATGTCATGCCCATCGCGCTGTTTCAGGCGCAAATATACCCTCCGCCGGACACGATATGGGAGGAGCTGAGGAGGCTGTGTCACGCTTTTGTCTCTGGTGGACGGGCGAGCTCAGAGCCGGGCTTCATTCTCTGGAATGGGGATCTCATGCAACTCGGAAGGGAGGAAGGGGGACTCGGGGTGATAAACCTCAAGGACCGGCTGGACGCAGAAGCGCTTCACTCGCTGGCGCAACTACTCACGGAGGAGATGCCGCAACGGCGACTGTTGGCGGAACGAGCGGCGAACTTCCCGCTTGGCTATGCCTCCCTCCTTGCACACGAGGCACTGCTGAAGGCATGGGGCACGGGGAGTGGACGTTGGAAAGCAATCACAGCCGTAGTAATGTCATCGCCGGTCGTCAAGAACCTGGCGGTCGGGAGTAGATGGGACGTCGAGAAGGAACGGGTGCTTTTCAACAGACATATCCTACGTGAGGGCGGATACCCCTTCGGGCGGCGAAAGGGTGATGAGGCCCTTCACGAGATTATGGTGGGGGACCTGCTCATGAAGTGGGCAGATGGTACCAGAAGCTGGAAATCGTCTGAACGGTTGGCGCGGGACCTGGGCAGCAAACAGGCAGCGGAGGTAGCTGAGGAAGTCAGGGAGGCGCTGAGCGATGACTGGAAGGAGCGGGTCCTGAAGCCGCTCACGGCGAAGGAAATGGCGGAAGCCACAAAGGTCGTGAGAACGACGACGAGAGGGACGCAACTATGGTGGGTTCGCAAAACCCTTGGCAACCAGCTTCACTGCGCGAAGATGAGTCTGCACGAGGACGGGAAGGCGTGGTTCGTGCCCGAGGGGGCGAGAGTTAAACCGCTGTCTGTGACAGAGGTCATGCCGTTGGCGGTGATGGGGGACGAGGTGATCGAGAAGCTGGGCGAGCCGCGCAACAGGCTACTAAAATCAGAGCTCTGCGTGGGTAAGCTGGCGGCCTCTCTGAAGCAGCTGAGAGTAGGACTGGGGGGGAGACGCAAGCAGCCGGACAAGCTGCCTCGCCGTGCAGAGTGGGGAACAACTGTGGGGGAAGAAAATTGACTGGAAGCGGGCGATTGCGCGCAGAGACTCCCATGTGGTCCCCGCAAAGGCACGGGACGTCTTGCTGCGCGCTCACTGCTTCAATCTGCAAGTGGGGGACCGTTTGAAGTTCTTGGGCGAGCGGGCGAAATGTCCGCACTGCGGGGAAGCGGAGTCGGTGGACCATGCCTTGATCTCCTGCCGAGTCATCCAACCTGTGGTGGGGGCCCTCAAAGAGGCGATTCGGTGGTTCAATCCAGCGCGGAGAGCGAGGACACTTGGCGACCTGTTATTTCAGCGTGGGGGAACTGCCTCCGGTTTCCCGGAGCTGACAGGGTTGGCAATCACGTTCCATCAGATCTGGGTGGAGCGCTGCAATGCGGTCTTCAGGGGGCGGAAATTCCAGGGCAGGAAGGTGATGCGGGGGATTGCGACATCATTCTGTCTGCATGCGCGAACGTACGAGGGCATCAAGCGAAGGAAGGCGTGCATAAAGAGGAGCCTCGTGGCCAAGCAGCATCTGGCCAATGATGAAGTTACAGCAATGGAAAATGTCAGCACGAGAATGGCGAGCAACCTGACGTGGCGTGACGAGTTTTTGTCTATCTGGACGGACCGGAGGGCCGGATACAAACCGCCGTAGATCCATTCGAGGGGTGGCTCTCTCATTGTTGTGTAACTGCCCCCCTCCTCCAACATTTACGACTGTGGCCTTTTTGCTGTATCTTTGATATAGTGAAAAGCCTTCTATTTAAAAAAAAAGACAGACAAGCACGCATCGCGTTGTGCTGCTGGTGGGGGGAGGGGAGGGGAACTTCCATTCCCCTACCACGCAACAATGATGATGGCTACACATGATGCCAGGCTTGAGGCACTCCCGGTTGCCTTGTGAAGGGGGCGCATTTCGCATAAGTTTCGTCAATTTCGTCAGGTGCTTATAAAGTACATGTAACTTATCCGTTGACATTTTGACCTCAGTCTCTTCATTATGACTTCGGTCTGTTCGTTACTATTGGTTCAGAATCACTGCAACTTGCGCGACGTGCTTGTAACGTGCGTGCAACTGGCAGGGGAAAAAAACACGGGTGCAGGGCAAATTCGCGTGCAGGGGTTGAGCATCATTTGTACTTAGCTCTTCTCTCTCTTGCACTTGCGGTTGCGGCATTGTTGGAGCGCCATTAGAGCAAGGGCGGCTTGTACATATGCGCGAAACAGGTGACGGGTTCGTTATTTCGTTTCTCCCTGTTTTTTCAGCCCTCGGTGGTGAATCACTTCCGCCGCCCTTGATTCTCAACCCTCCGCGTGGTAACGAAATTCATCCATCGGACTGCGTGCGAGGCGCTCTGGTAACCAAACGCATCATGGCGCGTGGTAACCGTTCGCGATTATTCGCCCTCCCGGACGAGACATCCTCACGCGCGTCGACCATCCGTCCGATCGCTCCGCCGTCGCGCTCGCCTGCTCTCGCCTCGAGGCGCTAAACGCCAATCAGAAGGCAGGTCGATTTTGCGTGAGGTTTCTTGTGGGTGAGTTGGATGAGTTGTGGGTGAGTTGAGTGCAACCACAGTGGGTGAACCTGAGGTGACCTTTATGGTTACCCCTGAGGTTACCTCTTACCTGCAAGGTAACCTTGTCTAACACCCACAGGTTACCTCCCCCAAGCATACCTAGGGGTAACCTCGGGGTGAGTTTGAGGGGACATTCTGGAAGGTCGAATTTTCTAGAGTCCACGCCGTGCTGCGCCGCGCGCCACACTCGCTCCGCCTCGAGGTCGAAGCGCTCGTGCAGCCTCGGGAATGGCTGCAAGCTCTTGACGGTTTTACAAGGGTATTTACCCGCATCACCAGTTTAACCGTGGAATTCAGCGTGGGTTTGGGGAACCAGCTGCTGGAGGGTATTGGCGCGGGCTGCCCGAGATTGGAAAGTCTTAAGCTGGTGGCACAGGGGGATTTCGACATGAGCGCAAGTGCGTGGGAGAAACTTGCCCAAGCAATGCCCGTGAGTGCACGGATTCGCAGACAAATCGAGTGCCGCTTCTTCTCTACACCCCCCCCCCCCCCCCCCCCCCCCCCCCCCCCCGTTTCTTCCCCCCCCCCCGCAAATCCCCCCACCCCTCGTTTCCTTTCCCCCTCTAAGCTCTCTCCCCTGGCCCGTACCCTCCTCCCTACCCGCTTTCCCTTCCCCTGCTCTGTTTCTTCGCCGGTATTTCTGAACCATCCCCGGCTGACACCCGCCCACCTTCGCCTCCTTCTCCTCTTCCCCCGTCCCCTTCCCCCTTCCCCCTCCCCCCAGCGCGCTGGCCTTGTTGGAGCTGGAATCCACCTTCTCGCGCAACACGCGCCTCTACCTCCCCCTCCCACTCCCCCCCCTGCACGCGCTCCCCGCCCTGCGAGAGCTCACCCTCCGCCTCGTCCCCCAGGACGCCTGCCCCCTCGCGCGCTGCTCCTCCCTCACCTCCCCCTCCTCCTCCTCCTCCCCCTCCTCCTCCCTCCCCCTCTCCCTCACCTCCCTCACCATCCACTCTGCAGACCTCGATTCGTCCCTGCCTCTCCTCTCCTCCTTCTCATCCCTCGCCTCGCTCTCTCTCATCGCCTGCACCTTCAACCCATACGAGCTGCACACACTCGCGCGCGCGCTGCACACTCTCACGCACCTCACCATTGACGATTGCCCGCTCGTCTGCTCCCGCTCGCTCTCCGCCCTTGTGCGAGCCAATCCCGCCCTCTGTTCCCTCTCCCTCAGCAGCAAACGCTACCGCATGTACAGCGTTGCAGGGCTGTCGACCGTGCTGCTGGGCCTGACAGCAGAGAAGCTGCTCGCGCTCTCTCTCTCTCCGGCCTGCCGTCCTTCCGCCCTGGCATGCTGGCGCGCTGCAGTCTATGTTGCACTATACGCGATTCGCGTATCAGTCGCGTTCGACTTATACGCTTACGTACGAACGTGAGACGGGGGATTTCCGCCCCAGGATACGCTCCAAATACGTTCGCCCGGGCAGGGGAAAAAAGTTCCGGGCAGGGGAAAAAAGTGCCAGGGAATGAGTGATGGTCCCTATATTCAATGTTTCTTGCCGGTCTGCGTCGATCTGCTGGCGGAATACTAGAATCGCGCGGATCTGCTGGCGGAATACTAGAATCGCACGGATCTGCTGGCGGAATGCCAGATCTGCGCCCCTCTGCCTACCTGCGTCCAGCTGCGACATTAGCGGTCGACATTAGGTTTTCGAAGCTGACAACGTGAAAGCCAAAGTGTGGTTGGAAGGGAAGGGTTGGGTTTGGGAGGTGGTGTGAGGTTATGTGCGGTGGAAGGGGGGGGTGGGTGCGGGGGAAGGCATTCGACTTTCAGATGTCAAAATTAGGTTATGGAGAATCACAGAACGCGAGAACGGTCGCAACATTTTTTTTTTCGACGGGCTGCCCGTCCAGGCGTATCGCGTGTTTGTCCCCGTATCACGTTTTTCCGTTTATACGTGAACGCATAAACGTGATACGATTAAAGCCCCCAGCGTATAGTGCAACATAGGCTGCAGTAGCCTGCGGTCGCTCACTGTGAGGGGCGCCCAGGGGCCGCTGGAGGAGCTGCTTGCCATGCTCGTGCGCGTGCATGGTGGGGGGGGCGAGGAGGAGGCGGCAGGGGCGGGTGGGGCAGAGGGAGGAAGGGAGGGAAGGGGAGGAGGAGGGGAGGGTGGGGGAAAGATAGGAGGGAATGGAGGGGTTGGAGGAAGACGGGTGAGAGGGGAAGGTGGAGATAGAGGAGTTGAGTTAGGTAAAGAACAGGAGGCAACAGGTGGGGAGTTGTAGCCGCAGCAACAGCAGCCACACCACCCGAGGGTGCAGCAGCAGGGGTAAGCATTGGTGGCGCGAGGATTGAGTACAGCGACATCCGTGCAGCGCTGGCAGCAGCAAGTGCGGACACGAGCGCGGCGTGCAAGGACGTGTTCCAACTGGTCAGAGCGGCCAAGCAGTACCTCAGCGCAGCCTACTCCCACCACCTCGCCCTCCACCTCGCCCTCCACCTCGCCCTCCACCTCGCCCACCACCACGCTCCCCACGCTCCCGATTCAGGGGGGGATGGTGCAGGACGGTGCTGGTGGGGGAGGGGGGGATTCAGGGGGGGTACTGTCGGTGGGGGGGCAGGTTCTCAGTGGAGAGCGTTGGGTAGGAGGAGGAGGAGGAGGAGGAGGAGGAGGAGGAGGAGGAGGAGGAGGAGGAGGAGGAGGAGGAGGAGGAGGAGGAGGAGGAGGAGTGGGCGAGGGTGGCAGCGCAGTCACGCGCAGGGTTGGTGGAGGTGGTGCCGTGGCTGATGGAGCGGCTGAGAGTGCAGTCGTCCGCCATGGTGGACGGGCTCGAGTCCATGCTCGCCCCACGTGCTGCTGCTGCCAGTGCAGGGGCTGCTGCTGCTGCTGCCGCTGCCGCCGCCGCCGCCGCCGCCGCCGCCGCCGCTGCCGCCGCCGCTGCTGCTGCTGCTGGTGTCGCTGCTGCTGCTGGTGCTGGTGCTGGTGGTGCTGCTGCTGGTGCTGTGGCTGGTGTGCAAGGGGAGGGGGAGCAGGAGGAAGTAGAGGAGGCCTGGCCGGCAAGCACGGCACGGGTGGCAGCAACGAGCCCTTGTCTGGACTGTCTCGTGTGGGAAAAACTTGACTTCACTGCTGCTCCCACCTCACCCTGCCTGCCCGATAACCCCCCCTCTACACCTCCTCCCCCGTCCCTTACTTCCCATGCCAGAGCAGGTGCATCATCCTGCTCCCTGTCCCTCCCCCCCTCCCCTGCGCTTGCTAGCCGTGCCAATCAGCAGCGGCAGTCGTTTGAGAGTGTCGTCCTGGCTGCTGTGTTTGGCAGGCTGAGGTGGTTGGCAGTGGCGTGGTGCGGTGGGGTGGGGGAGGAGCAGCTGAGGGTAGAGCACTGTGATGCCAACTCCGATGCCCTGCTGCTAGCATGCCCTATCCACTCTCTCACCCAAGCCATGATCATCGCATGCACCCGTGTCACTGCTGTTGGGGTTGGAGGGCTTCTGGGAAGCTTCCCTAGGCTGCGGCAGGTGAAGGTGGAGGCAGAGAAGGTGTCTGAGAGGACGAGGCGGGAGCTGCGGCGTGCTGGTGTGGTGGTGAGGGGAGTCTGACAAGGAGGGTGCTGGGGCTGCTGCTACATGGGCAAGCTGTGTGATGGGTGGGTGGGTGGGTTCCTTTTACAGTTGTACCATATCATGTGTAAATACGAATCCGTGTTCCTGTGGCGTTCCTTCAGCCTTTTTTTCGTTCCGTTTCTGTAATTTGTATCACTGATCACTGTTCCTAAGTTCTGTAGATGCCGTATGAACCAGCAAGCAAACAAATATGGAATGTAATCCTTTCAATAGAAGACCATTAACTGTGTACTCAAGCAACCAAGGTTTGAAGTCCGACACACAGCACTTTCCTCCTTCATCCGTACTCATCATCATCAATTCAGTGACAATACAACTATCAGTTATCACCACCAGCATCACCAGCACCAGCACCTTACATGACACGATGCATCATTCCTCCCTCCTCTCCCACCACCGCCATGCCCTGCACGTCACTGCCCTGCACGTCACTACCCTGCGTGCACCATGAGCTCCATCACCAGCCGCACCTTGCGCGTCTCATACTCCCCTAGCTGCCTCCCCGGCGCACCCTGCACCCCCCCATCCCCCCCACCACCACTATCACCAGCAGCAGGCAAAGCCGATGCATCAGCTGCAGCAGGCGCAGCAGGCAGGGCAGCTTGATGAGGAGCAGCAGGAGCGGCCGCCCAGTCCCAGTGCATGAGCGTGGGCACGCCCCGGACAGCAAACGGGGGCGAGCGGAAGGGGTTGAGCGGGCTCTTCCAGGTGGGGCGATCCCCCGCCCACACGCGCACCAGTAGTGCCGTGGGGACTGGGCCTGGCGCTGTGATGGGGTTGCTGCGTAGAGTGGCGACTGCTGTGGCTACCACTGGCTCCGACTTGCGACAGTCTGGCACACACCGAGGGCGAGGGGAGAAGGCGAGTGGAAGAACGGGAAGGGGGAAGGGGAGGGGGGGAGGGGAGGGGGGGAAAGGGTGGGAAGAGAAGGGTGGAGGAAAGTTGGGCAGTGGAGTGTAGAGCAGGGGAGAGGAGGCAGCTAGGTTAAGAAGGTCATGTGGAGAAAAAGCAAGTTCAAGTCGATATACATGAACCGCTGGGAATCCCATGGGAACTCATGAGGATGGTGATGATGGTGATGATGGTGATGGGCATACGCATGGTAATGACGTCAGTAAATTGCAACAATGGTGCCAGGGAGGCACGCCAAGCAATATGGCAACAAGAAAGATATATGAGGGGGGAGCGAGGAGTGGGCATTACGCAAGAAGTCATAGCAATGGTGATGGTGATGGCAATGAACAGAGCAGCAGGGTATGTGGGGGAAGCGCACCCACCACACCCCAACTCTTGGCCTTCTTGCATGCACGTATCTTCCTGCTGTGGGGGTACAAACTACGTGCGTGGGGGTACGCATATAATTGCCAACGCACACATCTCCTAGGAGGCAGCAAGGCAGGGCAGAAGGCACGTGAGGGTACCAGGGCACCAGGAGCGGTTAGTGGAGGGCACGTGGTCTGCGAGGAAGAGCAGGAACACATTGGTGTGCGTGGCCTCGTGCTGCTTCAGCAGGGCCACCAGCTCCTGCTTCGATGCCACCTCCGCCTCCTCCACCTCCACATGCGCTGTTGGCAGTGGCGTTGGGGACCGCGGTGACACAGGCGCTTCCTCCTCCTCCTCCGCGTGACTCCCTGTAGGGCCACTGGCAGCAGAGCCAGTGGCGGCAGCTGCAGCCTCCTCTGCTGCAGCAAACGCACGCGCATCAGCCTCTGCGTCTGCCATCTCCCGTGTTGATCTTGCGCCTTCCGCCCCCTCCTGCACCTCTTTTCCCCTTCGTGTGTCCGCTCGTCCGCCTGCTCCTTCCCCTCCTCGACCGTCACTCGCTACCCCCCCTGCGCCGCTCTCTGCGCCCCTTACTATGCGCCTGCTACCTTCCCCGGCGTGCCAACCGCCAGAGATTCGAGTCTGGGAAGAGGAGCCGCGGAGAAGAGGGTGTGTTAGGGCAACGGAGCGAGCGACGGATGGGACTGCTGCAATCACACCTGATCTCGCAAGCGCTGCCGCTGCTGCTACTGGCAAAGGTGCTGGTGCTGCCAGTGTTGCTGCTGTGGTTGCTGCTGTTGTGGCTGCTCCTGCGAGAGTGGGCTGCGTTGGAGTGTGCTGTGATATGAGTTGCGCTGAGGGGGGCAGCAGACGGTGGTAGAGCGAGAGAGCAGGGCGTCGAAACCACAAAGGCAAGGAATGATTGCGCAGAAAGAAGAGGAGAAAAAAGCAGGGTCATGCCGCTTTACCAAGGCAAGGCACGGCAAGGCATGGCATGACTGCACTCTCGTGCGAGCAGCACGTGGTGCTGCCGTGCTGCCACTGTGCTGTACCGACAGTCTCATCTCGAGCGCGATATTCCTTTCGCCACACATCGCGGACCCTAATCACACTCACTCCGACCCATCAACCCAACACCGCCGGATTATATCAGCTCCAGTCCAACCACCCCATCGCCCTGAACCCGCGGACAAAAAGATAGCCTCCAGTTCGCTCAAGCATGCGAGGCGAGGCGTAAACGGCTACTCTGAAGTCACTTTTGACAAGTCGCAGAACTGGCTTCCCGAGGCCCGAGGCGGGGCATAAGAGCGCACCTGCGAAGCCGAGCAGCTGCAGGAGGAGCACGGCGGGCAGCACCACAGCGGCACACGCGGACAACACGTGCGGCGGCTTCGCCGTCAGGGACGCCCCCAGCGTGCCGGGTCGCGCGGGCTGGTGGCGATGGCGATGACCGTACGCGTGACTGTGACTGTAACCTCGCTCGTGCGAGTGACTATGGGGGTGACTATGGGGGTGACTATGGGGGTGGCTATGGGGTTGGGGATGCCGTGCCGCCACCCGCGCTGCGGTGGACGAGCCCAGCTTGACGAGTGGATGAGCTTTCCGAGGAGCGACAAGGATGTTGGCGTGGGAGTGGCATGTGAAGTGCCACGCTCTCTGCAGGCCACTCCACACGTTAGGGCGTGTAAAATTGTATCGACCAAACGTTATGGTCGATCATTTGGGCGCTTCTGGCGATTGCGAGGAATTAGGGTTACTAATATTTGAGTAGTCACCCCGAAATGACCGATTTTCATTGGTAATTTCCGAACAGAAATTTACGCACCGCATTTTGGGACATGCCTGAACTAATGCTCAGCGGGGATATGTTTTTTTCATTTACCTAAACCCACTGCTTTGGTAAACTCTCTGGTCTAGGATTCAGATCCCCCTTATTTCGCACCCCTTTCGATTGCAGTAAAGGAAATAATTTTTTTCCTTTACTATTAATGGGGTGGTTTGGGGTGGGTGCTCCAAATGCTGACGAAGTCTGTGGCGGGGTTCGTTTAAGTGTTACACATTTCGCACTCGCCAGAAACGCTCAAATGATCGACCATAGCGTTTGGTCGTTACAATTTTACACGCCCTTAGCGTGCAATTGAGTGAGCAAACGAAGATTGCAATATCGAAGCAAAAGAGGAATAAGCTAATGTCATATAGCGAACTAGAGTGGTAACGGTAACACGCGAGAAGTGGGGTGCACGACGAGCCTGACGCCGAGGTTGGGATTTGTCAAGGCAGAGGACCAGAGTGCGGGTTACCAGCCGAAACGTAAGGTTGGGTTGCCATGTGAATAGTGGCGGGAACAGTGGTCGAGGCGGGTGTCGAGTGGTAACGTTTTACTGTAGGGTGCTGTTGGCCGAAACAGTCGTGTACGGTATGGGGTAAGCAGGGGTGCAAAGCCTTGGAATAACCGAAAGGTTATTAAATAGCATTCCCGAAAGAGCTCTCCTAGCGCATCACCTCATAGCGAAGCAGCGCTACTGTACCAGTACTGCAATAGCTCATATAAAGCATGCGGCAGTTCGAGAGTCACCGGAAGGTCAACAGTCACTGTTAGTTAACGGTCGTGACTATTGACCGTCTGGCAACCGCATCAGATGTTAGGCAATGCAACATGGTAACTGTCGAGAAATGCAATAGTCGCGGTTACTGTAGACATGTAAACAGTTAATAAGGGAATGTACCCCTCAGAGTACATGGCTAGCTAGATTGCCATTTATACCCATGTACTCCTATTTTATAATTATCTTGTTCTCTTTCAACTATTATTAACAAGGTCACTACAAAGACTTCATTGTCTTCTCTCAACTTGGCAGTCTTATCCTATCAACTACGATTCCTAGTTGTATCAACATGGTATGAGAGCTAGAGTGGATTGTAAGATGTGCCAAGTTCTTGTTCTTCCTAGAACAAACCCTTTATAAGCTTATTCAATAAAGTACATGTTACAAATCTGTACCACTATGGCTCCTGAAGGGAAAGCTACTACAAACTCTCCGGGCCCACCACCACCAGCAACGACCAATGCGCCATCAGCAGTGACCTCCGTCAGCGCCGCATTCGTTGAGCAGCTTATCACTCGCATCAACGCTCTTGAGAGCCATCAAGCCATGAGCATCAATGGCTCAAGCTACGCAAGAGGAGTTGTTGGACTTCCTCTCCCTAGAGAAGACCGCCGCGTCAACTCTGAGAGATCATTCACCTTTGACAACCGTCAACCTTCAGCCCCTGCACAAGACAATCAACAACACGCACAGTCAGAAGCAATTGCAACGAAGCAAACAAAATTCGTTCTGACCTCAAAGCTGAAAACTTCAGTTCCATTCGACGGCAAGGATTTTTACATGTGGAGCTTCGAGTTCGAGCTCCTCGCAACAACCGCACAGATCTAGATGTACTATGACAGGAGCGTACATTTTCCAGCGGAAGGAACCGTCCAAGAGAAGAACCATTACTACCACAAGTCCCTTCTCGCGTACACCACTCTTCTCCAAAACCTCTCTCCCACCGAGCAGCTTGGCATCCGATCCTACAAATCCGAATGGGCACCCGCGCAAGCATCTTGGGAGCACCTGCGCAATTCATACATGGCAACAAGGGGAGAAGGTGGGAGCGTATATCAATCGATGTCACAATCTGCGCGACCACATCAAGAAGTGCGGTGGAACCGT